CTCCAGGGCGTAGGGCAGGGTGGCCACAACGGCGACCAGCGCGGCCTGGCGCGCCCTCCTCTTCCTCCTCCTCCTCCTCCTTCAGGGGCGCAGCCTCTTCCTCTTCCTCCTCCTCTTCTTTTTCGTCCTCCTCCTCCTCCTCCGCCTCCCCCTCCTCCTCCTGCCCCCCCTCCAAGACGAAGCAGAGGCGGAATAGGGGAAGAGGAGGAGGAGGAGGCGAAGGAAGAGGAGAAGGAGGGGAAGAGGAGGAGGAAGAGGAGCAGGAGGAGGAGGAGGATGGGGAGGAGGAGGAGGAGGAACAGAGGAGGAACCGAAGAGGAGGATGATGAATATGAAGATGAATATGCTGACGATGATGATGATGATGATGCCGATGATGACGACAATGACGATGACGACAATGATGATGATGCTGATGATGATGGTGATGGTAATACGGATGATGATGATGATGATGATGATGCTGATGATGATGATGATGATGATGATGATAAGGAGGAGAAGGAGGAGGACGAGGAGGAAAGGGAAGAGGAGGAGAAGGAGGAGGAGCAGGCGGCGGAAGAGAAGGAGGAATGGAGGAGTAGAAATGGAGGAAAAGGAGCAGCAGGAGATATATGTATGATGATGATTAGGAGGAGGGCAGTGGAGGAGGAGGAGGAGGAGGAGGAGGAGGAGGAGGAGGAGGGAGGAGGGAGGAGGTAGGAGGAGGGGGGAGGAGGAGGAGGAGGAAATAATAATGGAGGGCAGAACGGAGGACGAAGGGGGATGAACCAACTTTGCTGTAGGCTGTAGGCTTAAAGGGTACCGGAGTCCGTCTTTAATGATGCAGCGGTCGTCAAATACTAGAGACGTTGCGAAGGAGGGAGGGATGCAATGAGAGGAGGAGGAGGAGGAGGAGAGGGAGGAGGAGGAGGAGGAGGAGGAGGAGGAGGAGGAGAAGGGGAGGAGGAGAGGAGAGAGAGGAGGCGGCGGAGGAGGAGGAGGAGGAGGAGGAGGCGGAGGAGGAGGAGGCAGGAAGAGGAGAGTGAGGAGGAGGAGGAGGAGGAGGAGGAGGAGGAGGAGGAAGAGGACTACTGTAAACCCAAGACTCATCAACGATGTTGGAAGACACCCTCCCTCTGAGCTCCCTCTTCATAGACCCCTACAACGGTGAACTTCCATTGAGGGAACTGCCTCGTTGGAAGACACCCGTTTGAAGACCTTGAAGCATGCCAGAACATTGTTCTCGAGATTCCAACGCCACGGACCACACTGACCGCTGCGCCCTGACGATCCGGAACCGTGCCAAAACACCATTTTTGGGACTTCAACACCGCGAATCAACATAACTTTTGCGCCCGCATAATCCTGAATCCTTCCCAAACACAGCTTCTGGTACGATGATGATGGGAATCCGTGAAGCTCTTCCAAATGTTTGAAGCGAATGTGCGGGGCGCTAAGGCGAGAAACACATTTTGAAACATAATCGACCTTATCACCCGCGCACCGACCCGCCCACCAAACAACCAACCTGCCCACCCACCCGCCTCAGACCCACGACGCACCCAAACAAAACTCCACGAATACCCCACCAAAATGAAGTTCGACGACGCGAAATGTGCCGGCGGAACGGCCCGAGCGATCAACCAAATTAACCAAGGAAGCAAGCCTGGCGAACTGCAAAGGAAAACGCTATCCTGCTCGCCATCGCGTCGGCCTCGCACTGCGCCGACGCCTGCAACGATGCGCCCGTTAAGATCTCGGACGTCGGGCCCCAGGCCGTCATTTTCATCGTCGCCCCGCAGCTGGCACGGATGACCGCGTTCTTGAGACGGGGCCTGAATGTCGGCGACGTGGCCACGCCATCACATTTTGGACAAGTGCCGTCCGCTTCCACTTCCCCCGGGCATGCGCGAGCCCTCCCGTCGGCGTCCTCCTTCTGAGCCTGACAGGCCTTATAACATAAAGCAAAAGACTTGCTCACCCTGTGAAGCATCACGTCGCGGATGATGTACCGAGTATCCTCGTCCACTTCATTGTTCTCCATCATGCCTGGGAACTCCGCGACCGTGGTGTCCTCCCCGATCATATCCGGGGTCAGCGACTCCAGCACCTTGTCCTTGACCTTACTGTGCAAATCCGCCATGCCGGGGCTATCGACGACTTCCACCCGGCCGCCCAACCGGCAAACCGCGCCAGACACGCCGCAGCCGCGCGGACGCACGGCGAGGCCAACGATGCGCAGCGCCGCCCTCGCCTTTATTAGCTCCCCCGTCACCTGGTTCGGATAGATGGCCACAGACACCGACTTCTCGGCGTGCGTCCCGTCAACGACCTCCACGCGTTTGAAGTCGCCCCCGTCGACCACGCCCGCGACCAGGACCTGCGCGTCACCCGCCCTGCGTTGCCGCGCTAACTTCTGCAAGCCCTGCTCCGCCGATGCCACCGCCAACGCGTCAGACCCAATCACTTTGGTCGCCGCCGCCGCGAACCCGCTGAGCACGGCGTCGGCGGGCACCGTGCTCGTGGACGAATGGTGCCGCATGTTCGCCCCCCCCCGCGCAGCTCGATGGAGTCGCCCTCCGACACTGGCTCCAACGACTTCGCGATCTGGCCGAAAAAGGACACTTGCACACGACTGCCGTCGCCGTCGTTCAACGCCAAAGACCCTTGGCTCTGATCCTCGCCCGCCCCGCCCTTGTGCGTCGCCACGCGCGGGCCGAACTCGACCTGGGCAGCGGCAGAACGGCGACCGGGAAAACCAGGGCCGCGCAGGTTCCGAAAGCACGACGCGCCCACTGAAAACAACTGGCCGCGTTGCTGGGGCCGTCGACCGCGCCCTGGGCCCCCCGAGACCTAGGGCGCCCAAAGCAAGTCCAGGCATCAATCCGCGATGGCCCGAGGAAACCTTCCAGGGCAAGGCCCGACGACCCAGGCTAGCCCGAGAACGCCACCACGACGCCCTCAGAAAAGGACGACCACGATCCCTGGCGCGAAGTCTTCACGCCGTGCACCTTTCAGGGCCTTCAAAGTCGCCGAACAAAGCCACGTCTGACCTCCAAGTCAGCCTGCCAGACCCCCAAAACAATCCTAAAGGTTCCCGTGCAGATTCGCGGGCGCCGCGTCTCATTCCCAAACCAGAGCTTGCTTCTGTAGGGGTCCTAGCGGATATAAAGCTGAGGTGAGGTGGGCGGCCGATTTCGGTGGCCGGGGCCGGGTGCCCGGGTGCCTGGGGGTGCCCGGGTGGCCGATTTCGGTGGCCCGGGTGCCCGGGTGCCCGGGGGTGCCCAATAGCCCAATAGCCCAGTAGCCTTATAGCCCTATAGCCCTGTAGCCCTATAGCCTAATATTCCTATAGCCCTAATAACCTTATAACCCTATAGCCCCATAGCCCATAAAGCTCTATAGCCCCATAGCCATATAGCCCCATGGCCCTATAGGTCACAGTCCTATAGCCCTACGGCCCGATAGCCCTATAGCCCAATAGCCCTAACAAAAATCGGATTGGGGTTTTTCTCCGGTATCATAACATTTTCCATGCGAAACGCTTCGCGAATCCTTGCCAGGAGCCAAGCGTCGCGGTGAGAGAGGGGCGCGCGGAGAAAATACCACAGCGGCGAAAGGAACAATTAGCTGAGGGAAGCCTGGCACGGGCTCGGAGAATACACGTTCATCGTTTGGGCACCTGGCCCCGGCGCTCGCAGCGTCCACGCGCGCGCGCAGGTGGATGCGCGGACAAGCGCCAGCGCCTGTTCGAAAACTCCGCGTCTGCGGCCGCCGCGGCCGCGCACGGGCGGCGCGACGGTCAAGACCCCGGCGAGCGCCGAAGCTCGCGCTCTCACTCGCCGTTCGCCCCTGGACGATGCCTTCTACTCCCGGATGCGCGCGCTTGGCCATGCCGCTCGCATCCTCTGACCTCTCGGCGGAGCGCGCCATGCACCCCATGGCGCGCTTGCCGTGCCGCTCGGAAATCCCGTGGCGGTCGACGAGCGACGCCAGCAAGGCCGAGCTAGCAACAGACTTGCCGACTTCCGCCCGGCTCTGGTTCCGCGCCCTCTCGTCGTCGGTCCGGGGCCAGGTTGCGAATGCCTTCTTGAGCTCCTGGAGGACACTGTCCGCAGAAAGCCCCGCGGTGATCTTCGCCTTCGCGCGGTAGCCGAGCTCGTTTCTGCGCAAGGATCCCTTCTCACGCTCCAAGAACTCTTGCACTTCTTTTTCGAGATAGCCCTCATTGCCTGAGCCGTGGGCCCGTTTGAACTCATCGCCCCCGCAAGGCAGCAAACCGTTCAGGAAATGCGCGGCGCAGCCGTCGGGCTTCGGCGCTACGCCGGGCGCCGTGCCCGGCGTAGTGCCAGGCAGCGCCGCCGCCGCGCCGCTGCCAGCTGGCGACGCCGCCACGGGATCGGGAACCTTCCTGAGGCGCCGCATCTCCATGAATTCCAGCTTTGCTTGCGTTGGCTCAAGTTTTGCCACGAAGGTCTCACGCCGCCCGCTCTCCACCTCGTCCTTTTCGTCGGAAGCCCCCTTGAACAGCGCGCGAACACCCGCGTCGTCTCTTCGGCGCACGACGCTCATGCCGAGCTGCGACGAGATGCTCTTCGCGATCGCTGCGGTGTCCTTGTTGCCGTGCATTGTCGCCGAAGCACTGTTTTTGTCGACGGCCTGCTGCGGCGCCCATTGCCAGGCCGACGCCATTTTGCGAAAATGCCGCTTCGATGTCAATGTGTAGAACGGCTGGAGCCAGTGCTATGGAAGCTGCTGCTGCTGCCATGGGCTACCCCAATCGCCGCCAGTCGGTCGCGAGGGTCACCCACCCCCCGCTCGGCGACCCATGCCGTATACTCTATGATGATACGTGGGGCCGCAGGGCCCCAAGGTTCGAATCCGAAGATCCACAAACTTACATTCGTGGCCTCGAGGCTTCTGTAGCGAGGCGCTGGTAAGCCTGGCCATCCTCGCCGTCGCCGTCGGCGTCGTCGCCGTCGGCGGCGTCGCTGGGCATTCGCTTCTCTACTCGCCCACTGGTTTCCTTTTTTGCCCCCATCCGCCCGCATCTTGCCTATTCG